AAAAAAATTGCATTTTTTATTCTTGAGTGTCTGTTCTTTAAAGAAGTTCAAAAGCATTCACACACCAAGCCGTAAATGCAGAAACAACAATTAAAATAAAATACCAAAATTTATATTCAAGGGTAACAGTATGATCATCAGGATCATAAACTTTAAAAAAAGCTATGTGCTTTTAACTGAGACTTGAAAGCATGAACAGATTCCTAACTCTTAACAGACACTGGCAACCTATTGAATAACTCAGGACCTACATAAGAAAAGGCTCTTTGTGTAAATGATTTCTCCCCAACAGCACAAGATTTGGTCAGTCTGAAGGGCCCATTGCAGTTCTCAATAACATTCCCAAAGCTTCTGTGAAAGATACAGGCATATCAGCAAGATACTTGGGTTCATTAAACTTAATAGATTGAAATGTTAACAAAGAGTGTTTAAATTTAATTCTTGCCTTGATAAGGAGCCATTGCACCTCAAGTAGAGACTAGTGGGAACCCCAGGTGGGAGCGAAAATATCAGTCTAGCTGCACTGTTTAGTGCAGACTACGGTCTTTTAAGCAAGTAGTTGTGCATACAAACAATTACAAAAATATATTCGATAGGAAAAAATGCATGGATATATAGACCAAGATACTCTGCTTGTGTAGGTATATTCTAGTGCATAGACCCTTGTAGGTTTAGTGCTTCTTTCTCATTATAATAATTCGAGTGCATAAAGATAATGAATATGAAAATTGCAAGATTTCGTAATTCAGCTGCTGTGTTCAACAAGTGACAATGAAGAATCCAGGTAGACACTCAAGATTCCTCACCGATCCCACAGGCTGCAAACTAACAGTACTACAATCAAAGGCACCAAAATTTCCAATTTGTACTCTACTGAGGCTTCCTCGACAATCAAAATCTCTTTCTTACTCTCCCTTTTTCATCATCCAAGTGAGAATATCCAGAAAACTTAAATGGAGTTTAGTATCTTCCACATTTGGAACCTGTATTGTAACCTAATGTATTGTCAACATAAAAATGATGATCAGTCCCATGGCCATCCAGTAGTAAGGTTAAGCCAGGAACATAACATTAAACAATACCAGTTCAGGAACAGAACCCTAAGGAATGTCATAGGGCAAAGGAGATGGCTCACATACAAAATCATTGACGACTACTTGATATCACCAACCAGAAAGATGCAATTTCAAAGTGATACTGCAGTATCCCTAAGGCCACAGCCAAAAAAGATCACTTATCAATAATCCATGATCAGTGGTATCAAATGCAGAAGACAGAGGTCCAACAGAATTAGCAGTGACATATTTCCTTAACAAGTGTTCAGTATGAAATCATAAACCTTACACAAAGCCATCTCGGTTGAATGCAATGATCTGAATGCAGACTGAACACATGACACCAAAAAAATTTTTATTGCATTTGCAGTATCCTGCATACTTTGACAACAATCTTCATGAACAGATTTTTTCACTTTTTCAATGTTCACATCTGTTTTTCACATTGATGGATGACCAGTGTTTATTATTGTCAGCTGATGTTCATCTGACATTGATTTGAGAAAGCCATTCAAAACGCTGTGTCTGACCCATTGATAAACATTGCTGAAGCATTTGGCGAGTTACACTAGTAATTTTACTGAGTTTGAAATGGTATTTCTCTCTCTCTCTCTCTCTCTCTCTCTCTCAATGTGTGTGGGTGTGTTCTTTCTTTTTAATGATTCCATTCTGTTGCACAAAAAATTGCAATAACACACTGACAACAACAAATAATGCCCATCTAACCTGAACAGAATGACTGACTGCACTGAAATACACCATGCTACTTCACAATGGAGTGTACTGTGCAGCATGATCTGTGCTGCCATCATATTTCACTGTGATTTGGGCACAGTAAAACTGAAAGGTATTACCTCAACATCTTAATGCTAGGAGAATTGGCTTTAGACAGAACCAGGTTCAATATGTAGCCATTAATGTGGGTTGGTGATAATATAATATTTTCAACATTATTCAGTTCTGTTAGTTCCAGGAACTTGTATGAATAGGGCTTCTCTTGTGAACAGTTAATTTAGTAGTTAGTCACTAAACACAGGAAGATGACTACTCTTCTTTGCAAAATATTCAGTGAAGAGACCAGAATCATCAAAAGATAGGGAATGTGTGCCATCAGAGCCAGTAAAATACACAACCATCAGTCTTACACCCTGTTGATGACAGTTGCTGCTACTGCCATTACTTCAAATGACATAACAGGCTGACCAATTGGTATATGATGAACACTTGACAGAAATGAAGAGTAAATGACTGGAACTCCAGCATTCCGAGTAACAGCTGACCTCAGAATATGGCAAGTCATAAAGGACCTGGGGAGAGCTGATGTTACCACTGCTGTATCAGACTCCAACAGTCATGTTTTTGTCAAACGTAAAATATCAAGAGAAAATTCATTTAGGACTTCAGTAACATGCATGACTTTATTTTTTATTGAACAGATGTTCTATAAGGCCACCTTCAAGAGTTTTGGGGAACCTGAGGAGGCATGGGAAGTTTTCTGAGGCTGTAAAATTTGTAGGCTTCAGTAATTTGTGATGTTGAGACACCATCTCTGGACAGTCTGAGCTAGAGGCAGAATGGTAGATTGTACCCTGAGCAGCAACTCTGGAAGAACAATTGATACCACAGGAAGATGATTTATTGTCACAATTTCTAGACTCATGATCACCAGAAAATAAATGAGAGTTTGTTGTTTACCAGTGTTGTGTCAACATCTGTGGTCCAGGAGCTTACAACTTTATACCAGCAGGTATAAGATACTTACATTGTTAGAACTGAGGTAGAAGTTGACAATAATAATAATTTTATTACAGCATGGGACACTTGTTTGTACAGATGGGTGACATTTGTTATACATGCAGAAAGCTCATATACAAACAATAAATTTAAGAATTACAAGGAGAACAAACAAGGAACCAGTTATTACTTAAGATTTTCCAGGATCTCACAATGTGTCTTGAAAGAGGTACAGTGGAACCTCGGTTTTCGTATGCCCCAGTTTTTGTAGGATTTGGTTTTGACAATTTTTTTTTTTTTTTTTTTTTTTTTTTTTTTTTTGTCAAAATTTTGTCCCAATTTTTGCACATCCGGTCAGTTTTTGTAGAGTTGAAAATGGTCTGTACCAAACGCGTCTGTGTGACTTGCCCGCTCGGCAAAGTTTTGTGGAGGAATATCACCCTAACAAAACTGTTGCAAGCCATGTCTGCAACATGTTCAATGACAATGCCTTGTCCCATTTTAGGCAAATCTTAGAGATGCCAGAAACAGACCTCTCTGGGCAGATTTTTTTTTGTGCAACAGGGGTTCAGTGACTCAAGCTGGTCCTAGTGCCAGTAAAAGACAAAGAAGGGAAGTAACCCCGGATAGGGCCTTGATACCTGAAATCCTTATGGAAGGGGATTTCCCTTCCAAACAATAACCTCTCCTCCTCCCTCTCCCCTCCTTGCCATCTTCCGTATGCCAACAAGAGTCTTCGGTAAAGGTACAAGTGATGTTAAATGTTCATTTATCCATTTCATTAGTCATTTATATTTATTTCTCATTGTTTTCTGTATGTAAAACTATAGTTATTCTCTATAAAATGTATTTTTTGTTAATATTTTTGGGTGTCTGGAATGGATTAATTGAATTTACATTATTTCTTATGGGAAATATTGCTTCAGTTTTCATTCAATTCGGTTTTCATCAGACTTTTTAGAACGGATTAATCATGAAAACTGAGGTTCCACTGTAGATACTTTGCAGCTTCATAGCATAGATGTACAGCAGATGAATAGACAGGGTAATTACCAGACAGCTGGAAAATTTTTAATGTACAGTAATCCATTCTACAAGAATGGAAATAAAGGATGGCTCTGGATTACATTCCAGTATCAAGATGAGAATAATTAAGCATCTAGACTCTAGAGAGTAATGGATTCATTAAAAAAAACAGCCTGGATTCAGGAACAGAAGATCCTATCTCATAAGTTTTTTAAGTTTTCATTTTGAAAAAAGTGACTGATATACAACAGAAAAGACAAAAATAGTCAGACTGCATCTTTCAAGATATAAAAAAAAAATGATAATACACGTATACGACATGAGAGGGTGGTGTACATACTGGAAGAACATACAGAAATAGCAAGTGAAAGTAAATAGATGATGGAAGAATGGAATTTATAGAGTGGGCAACAGTAACGAGTGGAGTATACCGAGATTCATGGAATCCCTAGTTGATCAGGTGTGTATAAAAAGTGGAGAAGATTGAGTGTGTCACAACAAGACTGGTTTCAGAGTTTATGAGATAATACTAAAAGAAATTAAACAATCTAAATGAAATGAGATCCAGAAAGATATATGGTGATAATGTAGACTATACTACACACACTACAAGAATTAGATCCTTCCAGGGAGGCTCCTTCATGAAAGCGAATCCAGAAAATTGACCTATTGTCCTTTTCCCTGGATCAGATCTAAATACCTCTCATGGGAATGAGAAGTGTAACCCCTACTGGTTTAGCACTTCCCTGTGACAATAATAATATGGGATTAGTAAAAGGGTAGAGGAAAACTGTTTAGTTGTAGGCAATACCTTTATCAGTCTGAGAATGGTTGGAAAGGGGAATGAGCTGGATGAGGAGGCGGGAAAGGTTAGATCCTTATATGCTTGAGTAGTAGGTATGATACGAAACATGAGGCCAGGACATGGCAAGGCTGGGGACAATCACAAAATATTTACGTCTCAGAATAAACGGAATGCACAGTAGTGTGAAACGATTGAAATGGGACTTTTTAAATTTTTGTTATAAAGAGGGGGAATTATTCTAGATTATAATGCTTATAAAAAAATGGATCAAGAGCATTATCTAAATCATATCTGCATTGCAGTAGATATTGTCAGAGTCTTCCTGGATATTGTTGTCGTGATCACAGGGCTTGCAGATATCTTGATTTTGATATTCACAGAGCCGTAATAAAGAAGAGGGATCACGGAGGGAACACAAGCACAAGGAACGATCAAAGTCACAAGAGCCAGACTCAGACGTGTCTACCAAAGAAACCAAAAAGGAGAAGAAAGAAAGAAAGAGGGTAAGTGTTTTCCCTATTAACTCAGATATTTGTTTAAATATGTTACTGATTGTAATGCATATTGAGGGTTCCGTATGAAGCAGTGTTCCTACAGTATGATAGGTAGTATCATTTAATAGTGAAATTAGAAGAATAAAGGTTTTCTGAAACCTCTGCTGTAGAGGAATTAGACCAGCATTGGTAGATGCTTTTCTAAGACTCAGTTGTCTGTATACTGAACACTCAACTTGATCCCCATTCATTTAGTCTTTGTGAATTCCTTTAAGTGCATTACAGTGGACCCCCGCATACCGTTGGCATCACATAACGTTAAATCCGCATACCGATACATTTTATCGCTAAGATTTTGCCTCGCATACCGCTAAAAAACCCGCTCAACGCTATTCGTCCGAGACGCGTCTAATGTGCGGCCTGAGCCAGCCTCACATGTTCCACCGGTGGCATTGTTTACAAGCCAGCCTCCGCAGTAACATCCAAGCATACAATTGGAACAATTCGTATTATTACAGCGTTTTTGGTGATTTTATCTGCAAAATAAGTGACCATGGGCCCCAAGAAAGCTTCTAGTGCCAACCCTGTGGTAAAAAGGGTGAGAAATATTATCGAAATACTGTGGTACCATGGTCAACTGCTGCTGCTGCTGTAGCACCGTCAGCTGCTGCTGCTGCTGTACCACCGTCAGCTGCTTCTGCTGCTGTAGTACCGTCTGCTGCTGCTGTAGCACCGTCTGCTGCTGCTGTAGCACTGTCAGCTGCTGCTGTAGCACTGTCAGCTGCTGCTGCTGCTGCCGTAGCACCGTCAGCTGCTGCTGCTGCTGTACCACCGTCAGCTGCTGCTGCTGCTGTAGTACCGTCTGCTGCTGCTGTAGCACCGTCTGCTGCTGCTGTAGCACTGTCAGCTGCTGCTGTAGCACTGTCAGCTACTGCTGCTGTAGCACTGTCAGCTGCTGCTGCTGCTGCTGTAGCACCGTTGTTGGTGTGGCTTATTGAGAATACCAAGAAACAATTAACCCCAGAGGGTTAGCCACCCAGGATAACCCAAAAAGTCAGTGTCATCGAAGACTGTCTAACTTATTTCCATTGGGGTCCTTAATCTTGTCTCCCAGGATGCAACCCACACCAGTCGACTAACACCCAGATGAACAGGGAAAAATGCATGGAACTAGTGCTCATATTGGTGAATTTAAAGCCAGCAAAGGTTGGTTTGAGAGATTTAAGAATCGTAGTGGCATACACAGTGTGATAAGGCCTGTTCTGGAAGAAAATGCCAAACAGGACCTACAGTACTCAGGAGGAAAAGGCACTCCCAGGACACAGTGTCTCGTCAGTCATTGCTGTATCTTCAATAAAGGTAAGTGTCATTTATTCTTCATTTAGTAGAGTAGTACATGCACAGTATATATTGTGCATGTACTACTCTACTATTGTGCATGTATCCTTCTCTTTGTGTGTAGGAAAATGTATATTTCATGTGGTAAAAAATTTTTTTTCATACTTTTGGGTGTCTTGCACGGATTAATTTGATTTCCATTATTTCTTATGGGGAAAATTCATTCGCATAACGATAATTTCACATAACAATGAGCTCTCAGGAACGGATTAATATCGTTATGCGGGGGTCCACTGTATTAGGAACCCTTCCCAATCTTCGAGAGAGATTTTTTTCTTTCATGAACATTTTTCACGTCCCATATCTATGGGTTAAAAAATGCAGGAGGGCCCTGCTTATACAGCAGGCATGCTAGATTTCAGGCTGCTTCTGTAAAGCAAAAATCACTCTAAAGTGAATCATAGCCTCTTTTTTTATTTTCAAATTCATTTAAATGCCTGATAACATATGTACACTATCGTATATTAAATGAGCTATAGAGCTAATCCTAATACATAGATGCATATACTCGTACAGTACGCATATTACTTACCTTAAAATATTTTCAGTCTTAGCTTATAGTGAGTGGTGAATATATTTATTGTAAGAAGTCTGAATAAATGAAGAATGGGTGTTATAGAAAACTGCGGCATTAGCAAAATGCTGTAAAGCGGGGCCTTCCTGTATTGATATTTCAAATGCCTTTCATATTCATCTTAAATATATAAAAACTTTACTTTATATAAAATTTAATTCTTAACTCAGACTGGGCACTCTTCCACTGCCCCTACTACAGTAATTTACATACATTGGAACCTCGGCTCTCAAACTTAATTGGTTCCAGAAGGCTGTTCAAGTGCCGATCTGTTCGAGTACAGAACAGATTTTTCCCATCCAGTTTTCTTTTTGGTTGGCTGTTATCATTAACCCTCTTTGGCTCCATGTTGACTTATTTATACAAATAATATAAAAAAGGCACCAAAAACATGAAATAGTTTACAGCAAATTCTGGCAGGTCATGTTTATTTGGGCGAGTGCTGAGCAAACAGGCAACTACCGGGTGATTTGTTTACTGAACGAAGTGTTCGAATGCCAGATTGTTCGAGTACAGAGCTGTTCAAGTACCGAGGTTCCACTGTATAATGTACTGCATGTATACTGTAGTTATGAAGTGGAGATAGTGCAGACATTCAAGCATCATGGAGCAGATTTATCAAGTATTACTTACAGTGGCACATTGTTTATACTTTGTAGTACTATGTATAAAATTAGATTTCTTTACATTTATTGTTTATAATATTAGTTGTGTTTGAAATTATGGTAATATTAGCTGTGTTTGAGGTTGTGGAAATATTAGCTTTGTTTGAGAGTGGTAAAATTAGCTCTGTTTGAGAATATGGTAATATTAAAGGCATTTGAGAGTGTGGTAATATTAGTTGTGTTTGAGAGAGTGGTGCTACTACTAAAAATAGACAGAGACTGCTCTCTCATAATGCTTATACCAGTAATTTTGAACATATTTCTTGTAGCAGATAGAGAGGTTAGAAGTGGTTATCACTCAGGATTTAAGGGTCATATTGTTTTCGTCGGTGCCCATTGGTTGTAAGGGAAATTGACTCTGTACTTTTTTACAATTTAATTATAGATGCATGGACCTCCAGTCCATTGGTTTCATTTTTCTTTTTTTTTTGTATACACTAAAAACAGATGGTTAATGGTCTCAGAGATTATTGTTTCTATAAAGTTATTTCAGACCAAACCTTCTGGTTGACTGCCTGATCAGTCAGGTTGTTGGTGCTTGCTTTGTGTATAGTTCACTTACATTATTTGATTAGTGAAAATTGTTTCAAAATCAGTGTGTTTGGGACTCAGAATTTATTTTCTGACATGTAGGGTAATGTGAAGCTTATACTTTTAACCCTTTCACTGTCCAGGCCCCCAAAATTAATTTTGATCCCAATGTTCACTTTTTTTTTAATTAGTTTTTCTAATGAAATAGAGAATCTTATTCTGAAGGTAATGACAACAAAGGTATGAAATTTTGTGGTAAACTTATGGAATCAAGCAGGTGCAAAGTCAGCTGTCTGGGCACAATTTACACATCAGCGATTTGCCAACTTTGAGCAAGTTAAGTCAATCCCGTTGCTCCATATGACCAGATTCTTAATTATTTCACTAGTTTACCTCCTGTTCAATCAATTGAGCACAAGAAACTGCCCATTTAAGTATTACAGTTACCCTGTTAAGTGCACAGAATTTGGTAATTTGGCCAGTTTCGCACAAGATTAAAAAGTACCGGTTTACAAATAGAGCGCAAAATAAACACCGTAGACATTCCTGGTACTAAAACATTCCCATGTTTATTAATCACATCCCCAGGCCTCTCCTATATTATACTTGCCTTCCATTTTGAATTCATAATCACCAAAAATAGAAGACTTACTATTTCCTGAATAATAAAATATAACTAGGAATGATTGGTCCAGGGTTACAGTGTCCCAGTAATTGAATCAGACCTATTAAAAATCCATAAAACAGCTGGAGGTGTAGGGGAGCCTTACTCATCCTCAGGAAAGTTGAATATTTTCACTACTTTGACCTCTTCAAGGGGGGCTCCTAGGCGTGGTGAAGAGGCTCTTGGTCTGAGGAATTAGACCTGTCGGTCTCCTTCCTCAGACCGAACCTAATTACCCCCCAATCCCCTGTTCCCTATCCCATCCTCCCCTTTTTCCTTTCCTCCTCCTCCTCCCCACCCCTCCCTTTTGCCCTTCCTTTTTGGCCTTTGGGACTTTTTTTTTTTTCCCCCACAGGCACACTAGTTCCTAGGTAGGGGAAAGGGTACCGGGGTCCATCCCATTCCGTTGAGGTTCTTGGCAGTGGCGTAGTTTGCCGTGGAATCTGGATTGCCTGGGGATGTCCTGATCCCTCTCCGGTATCCTGGAGGGTGGCTTTGGGTGTCTCGGGTGACGGGTGTATCTCTGGAAGCCACCTTTCAGATTCCGGGGGTGGTGGCCGAAGGAGGTATGCTTTGTGGCGGATTTCCGGCCGCCCTCTCTTTTGTCCACCGAGGTAGCTCGACAGATGTGAGGTTGCTATCCCGGATTGCCGGTTTACTGGCATGATGGGTAGGGTATGGCACGGGTTCCATGCTGCATCTGCGCTACTTGCGGTTGCTGAGGTCCTCTTGGCGTGGGAGGGAGATTTCTGGCCCTTTCATTCCTCCTAGGAACTATCCCTCCCTGGTCCCCCCCTTTTTTTATTCTTTTTTTTTTTCTTTTCTTTTTTTTTTCTTTTTTTTTCTTAAAAACAAAAAAAAGAAGTAACCTAACCATGGCAGCCCTAGTCCATGAACCTGCTACCCCCGGGCCCCTTCTTGATACCGCACCCCGTTCTGACCCCGCCTCGTCTTTGGACCACTCTTCGGACATTCCTCATGCCTCTGTACCTCTTGCCAGTGCTGTTTCCTCACCCGCCTCAGGTACTGAGGCCTCGACTGACTCCTTCGATTTATCTGACCTTCGCTCTCCTCTGACTATGCTTCCGGCCTCTCCCTCTACGGTGCAGCAATTTTTGAATCGCCGGCCCGTTCCACATCGGACCAACTCTGGTCCCACGCCTAAATGCCAACAACA